TATATATATATATATATATATATATATATATATATATGCAATAAGGTCACAGTAAACAGGTAATTTTAAAATATGCAAAACAACCACTGTGAAAGAGTAGTGAAATTCCAAGCGCTTTCGTGACTACTCACAATGTGAGTAGTCACATCTCCCATCGGCCATCTCCCACCGAGGCAGGGTGACCCAAAAAGAAAATCCCCAAAAAGAAAATACTTTCATCGTCATTCAACACTTTCACCTCACTCACACATAATTACTGTTTTTGCAGAGGTGCTCAGAATACAGCAATTTAGAAGCATATACCTATAGAGATACACAACATATCCCTCCAAACTGCTAATATCCCGAACCCCTCCTTTAGAGTGCAGGCATTGTACTTCCCATTTCCAGGACTCAGGTCCGGCTGTATAAAAATAACCGGTTTCCTTGAATACCTTCACTAAATATTACCCTGCTCACACTCCAACAGCTCGTCAGGTCCCAAATGCCATTCGTCTCCATTCACTCCTATCTAACACGCTCATGCACGCTTCCTGGAAGTCCAAGTCCCTTGCCCACAAAACCTTCTTTACCCCCTCCCTCCAACCTTTTCGAGGACGATTCCTCCACCGCCTTCCTTCCCCTACAGATTTATACGCTCTCCATGTCATTCTACTTTGATTAATTCTCTCTAAATAACCAAACCACCTCAACAAACCCTCTTCAGCCCTCTGACTGATACTTTTATTAACTCTACATCTCCTAATTTCCACACTCCGAATTTTCTGCATAATATTTACACCACACATTGCCCTTAGATAGGACATCACTGCCTCCAGCCGCCTCCCTGCTGCAGCATTTACAACCCAAATTTCACACCCATATAAGAGTGTTGGCACCACTATACTTTCATACATTCTCTTCTTTGCCTCAATAGATAACGTTTTTTGTCTCCACATATTCCTCAACGCACCACTCACCTTTTTTCCTTCATCAATTCTATGATTAACCTCATCCTTCATAAATCCATCCGCTGACACGTCAACTCCCAAATATCTGAAAACATTCACTTCTTCCATACTCCTCCTCTCCAATTTGATATCCAATTTTTCTTTATCTAAATCATTTGATACCCTCATCACCTTACTCTTTTCTATGTTCACTTTCAACTTTCTACCTTTACACACACACTCCCAAACTCGTCCACTAACCTTCGCAGTTTTTCTTTAGAATCTCCCATAAGCACAGTATCATCAGCAAAAAGTAACTGTGTCACTTCCCATTTTGTATTTGATTCCCCATAATTTAATCCCACCCCTCTCCTCAACACCCTAGCATTTGCTTCTTTTACAACCCCATCTATAAATATATTAAACAACCATGGTGACATTACACATCCCTGTCTAAGACCTACTTTTACCGGGAAGTATTCTCCCTCTCTTCTACACACCCTAACCTGAGCCTCACTATCCTCATTAAAACTCTTTACAGCATTTAGTAACTTACCATCTATTCCATATACTTGCAACATGTGCCACATTTCTCCCCTATCCATTCTATCATATATACCATACCCCCGGCCGGGATTGAACCCGCGGGTTCAATCCCGGCCGGGAGTATGGTTTGTTTGCAATCGTGTCATTACGATTTCTTGAATCATATATACCTTTTCTAAATCCATAAATGCAATGAAAACTTCCCTACCTTTATCTAAATACTGTTCACATATATGCTTCAATGTAAACACTTGATCTACACATCCCCTGCCCACTCTGAAGCCTCCTTGCTCATCCGCAATCCTACATTCTATCTTACCTCTAATTCTTTCAATAATAACCCTACTGTACACTTTTCCTGGTATACTCAGTAAACTAATTCCTCTAAAATTTTTGCAATCTCTTTTGTCCCCCTTCCCTTTATGTAAAAGAACTATACATGCTCTCTGCCAATCCCTAGGTACCTTCCCCTCTTTCATACATTCATTAAACAAAAATACCAACCACTCTAACACTATATTATCCCCTGCTTTTAACATTTCTGTCATGATCCCATCAGTTCCAGCTGCTTTACCCCCTTTCATTCTACGTAATGCCTCACGTATCTCCCCCACACTCACATCCTGCTCTTCTTCACTCCTAAAAGATGGTATACCTCCCTGGCCAATGCATATATATATAAGATTTTACTTTAATCGTTTACGAGTGAATTTCAGCTTTAAATCCAGAAAACTACTAAGGATATCGTTGTCATTCTCGGTTCTTTCAACATTCAGTCATCACTACTTTTGCAAATTATCATTCTATAACTGCATCAGATCGTGTCCAAAGAAATAATTGTCTTATACACAACACATGCCCTTTAATATTTTTATATATATATATATATTTTATATATTTTATATATAATATATATATTATATATTATATTTTATATATATATTAAAATATATATATATATATATATAAAATATTTATATATATAATGTTGGGATTATATCCGCAGTGACTCCGAATAATATGCACGAGTCAAATAGATTGTCTATCCATTACAAAGAATTTATTTACTTAGTTCCTCCCCAAATTATCATATATTATGACCTTATATAAAATTTTGGGAAAAAGACCCAAGACAATCCTTCAATTTCTTAACTGGGTCGTGATCCAAATTGGTTTGGGAACCTCAAATTATGACAACGGCGCCACAATACATTGATACGCGACCATACCAATATAGAATACACTTGGATATATCTGCAGTTTCATATAATAAAAACATATGTTCTTAAGGTTCATGTTGTCATAATTTGCTCAGGATTCAGAATATGATTTTTTTATATATTTGAACTGCTTTTAGGAAAAAAAATTGAGGTGTATATTGAGGAAAACAACAACACTGAAGAGCACCTTCCTTGCGGGGATTAAGTGTTCAAATCTGTAGTAGATTTGTTCATAAATAAAAAAAATCTGACACCACTACACAATATTGTTATTAGTTTAATTTTGTTTTCCTAGTTCTCGATTTTCATTAAATTTCTCAACATTTTAATACGGTGTTCAGTGTTAGTTATCCTGTAACAAACACGACAATATCAAACTCCTACAACAACAGTTAAATCAGTAAAAAAAGAGACATAAGAAATTTATTGAATTAGTTCAAAGAGGCCATCTTGCTTTATTTACACTGTGTTAAGTTATCCCTGCACACGGTGAGGCTGTCAGTATACTGTTTAATGAGTAAATACGTTTCGTGTCCACGAAATTCTCCCCCAGGTTTAAACGGATGCACAACGAAGCACAGTAACTCTCTGGAATATGACATCCTAATAACATACGCGTAGCTGGTTCCTATAATTATTTAAGCTTTTTAATAAGGTGGCAATTTATGATGTCCAGGAGCACTCACCAGCCGAGTACATTCACTTGGAAACTTGTGCACACGATTTCAAACTTTAGAATAAAACACTCAATAATTCCCCTTTATTAAAATGCCTTTTAGTAAGGTGACAAGCTTCACACTAATTTAACTAGACTAATTGAGCTGCTGTTCCCGTGAGAACCATGTCAGGGACATAGCTTTTTCCTGTTTCTTATTATCCACACTTTTTCTCGATTTTTGCGAAACATTACCATAATCATAAGATATTTATATGCAAATACTCAGGCGTTTGGGTATTTCTTGGAGTCACGGATAGTTTTCGAATATCGAGAGGTGTTCTTGATTTATTTGTTAGAGAATACTTCCTGCGGCGGGTCATGATCAGATGCAGAACTCCCACTCAGTAGTGCCATTGTCACTATGATGTGGGTGTGATAAGCATGAACCACTGGTCTGCGGTGCTGAGTAAGGTAGTATTCTATGAACATAGGTGAGGGGAACCAGTGAATCTTTGGAGGACGCGGCAGTCGTGACTGCTTGCTGGCTTATCGCTTCTTGTGTTGGGGTTCTGATTATGCCTAGAGGTGTGTGGAGTCCTCGATATTTTTGATAGCGGTTAAGGCAAAATTCCTGACCTCTTTCAAGGTGGTTTACAATAAACACCTCACAACTGGAAATAATGTGCCTTAGTTCTCCACAGTTCCTCTCAAAGACTTCTCCACCTAACCCTGTGTGTGTTCATCTTCCTATCTCTGCTTTAGATCCACTGTCTTCCGTATATAATCTCTATTGAATAGTTACAAAAAGAACACCAGTTAGCTATACGCTTTCAGAATAAAGTCCCCTCACGTATTGCACAAGTCTAATTCATCACCACACATTAATTTGTTATTGTATGACAATAAATAGGAAATTCTTAAAAATTATAGGCTCTGCATTCTATAGGTTAAAGATATGTAATAGTGCAGAAATATACACACATTTTTGTATGAATAGCTTCAGTTTTTGTATGGATATTTCCATCAGTTCTTTTACCTTAAATTTCATTCTGAGAGATGATAATGCATGCTTAAAGGACATCACCTCTGCGGAATGAAATTACTCTTGTAGCTGTACAGCGGATGCTTGACGATATCGTCATTGCTCTGCTGAAATCTCTTAGCTCAGGCTGACAGCTTTCATTTCCTAATGCAGAATTTCCATCCCATTTCACAGTATAACTTCAAAATATACCTATTCTGTTTCCATCATGTAACAATCATAACTATGCATTCCCTCTCTCTGGGTGCAAACCTCCTATTTATCATAGGGTAGCTGCACAGTGTGTGTGTGTGTTTAGACCATGTAACTCTTCGAGATATAGTATTGTTTTTTCCACCATGTGACTTATAACCCAGCGTAGCAACACATTGCGAGTGTACCCAATTTTGTAGATAAATGGTTCAGGGAACCGACAAGTTGATAAATTAGATACACGTGCAACACTTGGGTATCTTTATTGAGGAAACGTTTCGCCACACAGTGGCTTCATCAGTGCACACACAAAGGAGAATGGTGAAGAACAGGAGTTTGAGGTATCTAAGTTTGTTAAAAATCTACGCGTTGACCACCGTTCGTTTGACTGACAGGGTGATACTGTCCCACAGGTCCCGCCATCAAAACCAGGAGGAGTACATAGACAAGCGAGGGATCCACGTTGTGGTGGGACACTACATGGGTGACGACATACCAGGGAAGACCACACCGAACCTTACTGAAGGTGAGCTTATCGAGGACCTAGTAATCCTATGAGACTGGAGCCTAAGGAGGGTTCCATTAAGCTGCATGTTTGGTGCATAAGAAGAATGCTTTGGAAGAGCCTCTGAGTTATTTTAATGGACAAATATATGGTTTTGCTGTCAGTGTTATCTTGTTACCACGGTTTAATCTGACATAGCGTTAGTATTTCTCAGGAAAGTCTTACATGTATTCATCATTCTGCCTTCATTCATTGCTGCTTCTGCCTATAACTTTCACCTACCTGTCATTCTCCTCAACACAGCCATCACTTACTTTACAGAGCAAGCTTTTACTGGGAGAACCTTTTGATCTGCTCGATCCTAAAAGATCAAAATGCCCTTCCAATAAAATCTTTTTCTGCAAAAAGTGTATCCTTCATCAGAACGAGTCTCATAATATATTCCTCACTCTAAATATCTTGCTCGTTAGGCTGGAGATCTTCAATACCCTTCCTTAATTTATATTCTTAATGATCTGTCAACATCCTTTCTCGAATATGATGATTAAAATGATGTACACAATTCTGAAAGAGTATGATCCAACCACATGTAGCGATTATGATTTTCCAGGATCACAATGCGCATGACAGGCGGTGTATAATTCCTATAGGTTTAGCATTTCCCCATGATTATAATAACAATGTGCATGACCCGCTAAAAGAGCCAATGAATAGTATTATTTTATAATTTTATCTACACGGCCTACATGGCATTATCACATTAATTATCACTTTCACTCGTATGTCAGTGTCTACCGATGCTGAAAATTATGTTAGGGACAGTTTGTAGAGGAAGAAAGAATAAATTACATTACTCTGGCTGGAACAATTCACCAAAGCAAAAATTCAAACTTAGGAGAGGCCCCTTATCAAGACGTTTGGTCTGACCCGGACTCTTGTTAGTTCGCACTGATCCATAACAATAGTCCAGAACGGACCAAAAGGTCGTCATAACGTTCCTTAGTATGGGTTTTTGTCTAGTATGTTGGGCAAATCTATCCTGACAAATATTTGCTAAGAGTTGGCTTCATATAGATTCGCCGGTACTATCACAGTCCGGGTCTTTTCCAGGTGGTGACCCGGCCTAAGAGTTGGCATTCATCCAGTCATACGAGAGGATACAGTATATCTTTATATAGCTGGAGAAGTAAGAGATAATAAAGTTGAACAATGAGCAAAACTTTTCCTTGTGAACTTTCTTTAGTTACTTTTAATTAGTTTGTTTACGAAATGTAATGAAATTTGTTTTTCATTGATTAGTAAAATTTACTAAGATTCTAAATCGATTTGTAATCCCTGACACTCAATTGTTGGTCTAATTTTGTTGCTTATAAACCATACCCCCGGCGGGTTCAATCCCGGCCGGGGGTATGGTTTATTTGCAATCGTGTCATTACGATTTCTTAAGTCTTGTTGCTTATGTTGTTGTGTTATTAACCAGTGTTGCTGCTATATACTCACTATAGCTCATCTTCAACGTCACTTTTGTGGATCAAGATTGTGTATTACATGAGTGGCTCTAATGGCACTCCAGTTGTTACAACCAGCCATTCTGATGCATTTCCGTTTAGAAATACCCATAATTGATCACCAGAAAACCACTTTTTCAGTTATTTCTAAGCCTTTAATTTAGATAAAAGTCCCTGTTGAGAAATCTTTCCAAAATCTTCGTGAAAAATGTATGTATATCAAAGGTCTCTCCTTCCTTTCATTCTGTGTATTACTGATGTTAGAATAAATCGAAATGATTCACTTAATAAGGATTGGTGCTTCCTCTTGTATCTTGATTGACAACAGCCTAGACCGGACAGACCGGAATGGGATTAACGAAAAGAGGATCGAGCTTTCACCATTCCTTGAGCTAAATGGTCCATAAGTGTTTAGGTTTTGGGGAACTACATAAAATTCTTCCTTTCTCCTCTCTCCCCTCAATAGTAACTACCTTTATCATCTAAGACTGATCCTCTTCAATCTTTCAAAGGACTCTGACAGCTGCCTTTACCTATTTTTTCCTTCCCTGATTAGCCTTTCATCCTAGCCACTGTTTATCCTTTTATTCTTCACTTCCTAACCAGTGTTTATCCTTTTATTATTCCGTCTTCTCTGTCCCATCTTTATCTTCCCTTGTTCTTCCGTCACCTGCCGCAACCGTACTTCCTCACTACTCTTGTTTATCCCTTCCTTTACCCTTCCTCTTTTTCCTTACGTGTTCGGTATAAAGGGTGGAAAGTAAATTTATTCACACAGAAACGTACAGTATATTAAGTATGTACACTGTGAAATTACAGAATTTAATATTTCTTGTCAAGCTTAAATAATGTGCTTACCTTCCAGCAAGTCTAATGCTAACATAAATAACAGATGCTACACCGTGCATATATTGTTATATAAAACAGTTTTATATAAATAATATATAGTGCTTGTGTGGTCATTTTATATCCTGTTATATTTATCAAAATTCATGGACCTAGTAGGATTCTGTTTGTGCTGTTACATCCATACAGGAAGATGACTTAAAGCCAACTGAAGATGCAATGATTTTTAGGGTTGTGATGGAAGTATTCACCAGGTTATTGATGTTAAAGAAGACTCGGAAAGTGCAGAGTATTATGCCTTCAGGAAGAGTGAATGAAGTTATTTTGTTTATATTTAAGTTATGCCTGTTGCTGAGATCATATTGGGTATATTAATGGGTGTTCGTTGTTAGCAGTGTCCACAGCTTTTCGTAACATTTGTTAACTCTATTGTGTAAAATAAGTTGTTGACTAGACGAATGAATATAAACTATTGTAAAAAAAAGTATAAATTGCAAATAGCATAAATAACCCAATATGAAGAGAATAAAGGAGAAGATAAACATAGTCTTTTTCGGCCTCGCTGAGGCCTTCGGATCGACACCATGCCTAACCCTTCTAGGGTAGGGTAGGTGCCTGAGCCCGAGCCTTTAGCTCATAAGACTGTCATTCCCATTTGCCCCTTGGGCGGGGATGGCAGACCAGAGAGGCCTAGCTTGTGGCTAGGCCTGGGGACAGTTGGTCCCAAAGATGAGGAGGTACTTGTGCCTCCTCCCATGGGAGACTTAGGTCTCAGACACTCCCTAAAGAGGGAGCCAAGGCCGGGCCACCACTTGGACAAGGCCCGGGCCGGGAGAATACCGGCTAATATTTAATAATAATAATAATAATGAGGCCTTCGTCAGCGCATGAAAGATTGTTGTTGAGGGCGTCATTGTTGGCGTGAAGCTTACAATAAAAATATTTTGTATTATTTTGGGTTCGTTTGGACAGTTTTTTCCCTAAAATTTATTAGGCTTTCATTTTTATATTAGTAAATGTTTATAATTCATGCCTCAGTGTGTGCGTGTCTGCCATACCTCATTCTCTTTCTCAGTAGTTCTACAAATAATATATCTTCCCTCAAGAGCTGCTGAACACCAATGGGTTCTCGCCTCAGCCTACGGCGGGTGAGAATGGTAACCCAGTGCACATCCCCAGCTGGGAGGCGGCCAGGATGCAACAACTGTACCACATCAACAAATTCAACTTGCTAGCTTCAGACCGTATACCACTTAACCGCACCCTCCCGGATGTTCGCAAGAAAAAGTAAGTCGAAGAATTTAATTTTGAATTGGTTAAAGGGAAATAAACTGTCACCACCATTATTAATAATATTTAGGACAAATAACCTATGCTCCCTCAAGAATAATAAATACCTTCTCATGGGTAAAGAAATTTGGATGGGGAATGCCAAAGGCTTCATCTGCTGGGCTCTCTGAAGGTCCATGTATGGTTTCTATATTTTGTCTTCCTCTGGTGATACTGAAACTAAACACCATCGAACGTCAGTTATGCAGGCCTGGTTCTGCTCTCTCTCTCTCTCTCTCTCTCTCTCTCTCTCTCTCTCTCTCTCTCTCTCTCTCTCTCTCTCTCTCTTCTCTCTCTCTCTCTCTCTCTCCTAACAGGCTATATTCTCTCCCCCTTTGAACCAGGTCCCACTCTCTCTTCCAGGCTCCACTCACTGTCGTAAACTAAGCCAGTTCCGTACCATTGAGTCATGTCTTCTCCATCGAGCCGGGTCCTTGTCCCTGACCAGGGTTCTTCCCCTGAGCCAGGTCCTTATCCACAATCCTTGTCCTTTACAGTGCGCTAGAGTTTCCTACCAAATCCAGACATTTTCCTCCGAGTAAAATCTGCTTTCCTTGAGCCAAATCTTTTTAATTGAATCTGGTTTTTCCATTGAGCTTGATGCTTCCCACTGAGGCAGATATCCTCCCACTGCGTCAGATCCTTCTCGCTCAGATCCTTACCACTGAGATACTGCCCATTAATGTGGACCCTTCCTACTGAGGCAGATCCTTCCCTTCGAGACAGAAGAGCCAAAGAAAAATGTAATTACCCCAACTGAAGATCTTTCTTCTCTTTCTATTTTATTTTCTCCTCTTCTTTCCCACAGGTGCCACGAGAAGGTGTACCGAGTGGATCAACTTCCCTCTACCTCAGTGATCATCGTCTTCCACAACGAGGCCTGGTCCACCTTGCTCCGGACTGTGCACTCAGTCATTACCCGCTCACCTCCCAGCCTCCTGGAGGAGATCCTGCTGGTCGACGACGCCTCCCAGAGGACTTTCTTGAAGGTGGGAGCTTGCAAAATGCTTGCCAGCTTCTTGGTTTTTTGTATTCACCCGGATGTTGAGTCATAGCTTCCGGCACCCTTCTAGAAATCTTCAGTCTACAGTATTAAATGTTTAACTATTTGAGTTGTCATAACCATTACTGAAACTGTGTGTGGATTTCGCTTTCACGAATTCCTCCTTCAGCTCTTAACTTTATCCCACCAATACTAAAATTTAGGTAGTATTTCTTCCCCTCATGAAATTTGTAGGCTAAGATACTCATTCTTCTTTAGCTCATCTCGAAGCACAGATATATCCAGGATATACCCATGTACCTGTTTATTGATTACTGAACAGGTGTAGGGAAAGTGTAAATTCCTTGCCACCCACCTGAAAATTTAAACTCGGGTTCCTTCGGTTGTGAGCCGAAATCACTAACAGTCGGCTACTTTTCCGAGTGTTCCTGTAGTCCCTTTGTATTTCAGACTACGTTATAATATATGTAAAATCAAAACCCATTCTTTAACGATATGCTTTTATACGTCATCCTAATGCTCTTCTTTGATCAATGTTTACAGTTATTTTTCCTTACTACTTCGGTTGCCTCAGTGTGCTGCGGCTCAAGTGATTCCTGAAGTTTAACTACACAGATTAACATAATGTCTTTCTATATAAAGAAACTCTGGAACTTCATAGTTCAACCTTTTTAGTCATTTTACATAGTTTCTTACATTATTCCCAGCGTTTACTACTGAACAATTTCTTTTTGCAATTAGATCATTATTTATGGTGTAAACGAGTAATAGTAAATATTTAACGAAAAATGAAAAATGATATTGATATGCCTGGCAGAATGGTGTCTGGGCAGAGAAGCTTCAAATCTGCAAGCATATCACGCCTGCTGAGGACGAGTTGCTTATTTAGTTCCTCACAATTTTCCTACTCTGATTCATACATTATGTCATCAGCCTTTAATATTTTCATTTTGTCTTTCATACATCATATGCTTGAATAAAAGATTTGGGTTTCGTTTTTCTGATTTTTTTTTGTAATAAATTTTGTTTTATTCCTAATATTTGTAGCCCTATTTTTTTGTATCTCAAATTTCTTTATCTGTTGTTTGTCCGTATCTTTCATTTGCTTCTGGTTTGTCTAGAGCCAAAAAACTATGGTAAGATTCCTAACTCACACCAGACCAGAAATTAGCAATTACAGATCAGTGTCACTTCTATCAATCACTGACAAGATTTTTGAGATAATGATCTCTCGGTAGATGAAAGCGCTTTTCGACTAACTTTTGCTTCTTTGTGACATTCAATATGAATTCAGAGAGAGTCACACTGCTGCTGATCTGCTCTTAATACTCTCTACTATGTGATACCAGTCACCGGACACACCTGGTACTTTCGACGAAGTATAGCATCAAGGACTCTTGGCAAAACTGCAAGCATTAGGAGTCGCTGACTCCGCACTTTGCCTCCTTAGTGATTACCTCCAAGGTAGATCTCTAAGAGTAGTTCTCAATGGGACAGAGTCAACAAGGCTTGTCCGTCGATGTGGTATGTCTACTTCAATGACCTTCAACTCTTCACAGAAGCCCATGCACATGCAGGCGACTATACTCTGACATTTGTTTATCCAAGATAGGAAATGCCAGTTACTCTGTCACATCAATCACCAGCTAACAGCTATATCACGTTGGAGAAAATGATATCACGTTACATTTGCTTCTGAGAAACAAAATGGTCTCTAGGCACCATGATCGTAATACGAAGAACCACATAGTAAATCTTGCAAACAAGGTGACCTGGAAGCTAAAAGCACTTACATGTATCTCGTATCTGATCAACAGTAGAGGCTGCAAGAGTCTGAGACTTAAGTGTACTCAAAGACTCACGAAATCGTAATGACACGATTGCAAACAAACCATACCACGGGCGGGATTGAACCCGCGGTCAGAGTCTCAAAACTCCAGACCGTCGCGTTAGCCACTGGACCAGCTAGCCACAATAAGATTCGTCCAACTAGGTATATTTCTACACCATAGGAAGGTTAGCATAGGCACCACTGTGACAACAAGTACAAGTTTTTACAGACGAATCTCCAGCTAGCGTGGCCGTGACGAACTCTAGCTCAAGTCCCCTCAATGTAGTTTGTTTGCAATCGTGTCATTACGATTTCGTGAGTCATGTTGACGGCATTGAGGGGACTTGAGCTAGAGTTCGTCACGGCCACGCTAGCTGGAGATTCGTCTGTAAAAACTTGCCTTTGTCACAGTGGTGCCTATGCTAACCTTCCTATGGTGTAGAAATATACCTAGTTGGACGAATCTTATTGTGGCTAGCTGGACCAGTGGCTAACGCGACGGTCTGGTGTTTTGAGGCTCTCTGACCGCGGGTTCAATCCCGCCCGTGGAATGTTTTTTTTTTTTAAGTGTACTCAAACTTTGAGTATGATTCAGATTCTTGGATTATCCACCCCCGTCTCTCTCATCTCATCAACAACTTCTTGAAAGAATAGAGAACAGAGCAAAACAATTCGTCTCTCGTCTGGACCCTGCCTGGACAGACCTGTTATTTCAGCAGAGTCTTTAACACCTGAGGGATGTGGGTGGCCTTACAGATATGTAGAAGGAAAATGTGATCAAGGTATCACGCTCCACTAGGCGGACAGCGAGAAGACAGCTTCTGCACAACAAGACCACCAGCAAACAGCAACTACACTTTGGCTATAATCTTCTGAAAAACATCATTCCCATTTGAGATCATTTATTCCTAGGATGAGTAGAGTCTGGAACCTGTTTGTACAGTATAATGACATTGATGAAATAAAGTCAAATGACAAAATGAGGTAATTAGGCTACAAATGGCTCCAGCTTAATCCTATTCCTTATTTATATGTCTCATAATAATAAATAAAACTTTAAAATGAGCTGAGGTAGGCAAATATAGGAACTCTTAACCTAACCCAGTAAAACCCTTGTGTAAATATGAGAGGGAAAGGGGGAAGGGGAGTGAGGGAGGTGGGGTAGAGGGGGAGAGAGAAGAGGAGGGGGGAGGAGGGGGAGAGAGTCAGGAGGGGAAGAGGGAGGGAGAAAGGGAGGAGGAGGAGAGAGGGAGGAAGGGGAGAGGGAGAGAGAGAGGGAGGGGAGAGAGAGAGAAAGAGAGAGAGAGAAAGAGGGAGGAGGGGGTCAGCCCATTTCGGGTACAAAGTGCTCACGGTGTGGCAACAATACTAAGCCCCTGTGGTGCTTTCATCGAGCGACAAAGGAAGATCCAACTTTGCATTTTCAAAACATCCGATTGGAAGTTCCAGATCATTGTGTTCCAAACTAGTTCCACAAAACAATATTGGAAATCCTTTCCCCAGGAAGAGGATACCACGATGCCACTCGAATATTTACCTTACAGTACACATAAGATTATATATATATATATATATATATATATATATATATATATATATATATATATATATATATATATATATATATATATATAATATATATATATATATATATATATATATATAACCAAGGTTTATACTATGCACACATTTATATATATATATATATATATATATATATATATATATATATATATATACATATATATATATATATATATATATATATATATTATATATATAAATGTGTGTCACAATACTTGAAAAGTAGTGTTTTGGCGTCTTTAGTTTCATCTTCCTGATCGACATTAATAAGTTTTTTTGTTGTTGTTGGATGTTAAATACAATTTGATTTCGTGAGGGTAAATATTAACAGTTATTTGTTTTCCTTTTCGGGATACGATGAATTTACATAAAGATATGTTCTCCAGCCTATGACTACTGGAGTTGTTTGATGTGACTTGTACAGTGTTGTTTGCCGTCACCATGTGAGGCTGAATAAACAGTGTCAGTGGCAGTGTCAGTGGCAGTGTCAGTGGCAGTGTCAGTGGCAGTGTCAGTGGCAGTGTCATACACGGATGAGATCTACACTCAGCACTCCCCCCCCCCACCAGTGGTGTGTCAGGGAGGGTGGCTGCCATGGCTTAAGACGGGAGTATAGTGTGTCACATCCTGAAAAATATATAGCAGTCACACCCATTACTGCCTCCCTCAAAATATACTCTTGCGTCACCTCCCATCTTTGGGGATGTTTATATACTTAGATACATTATATATATATATATATATATATATATATATATATATATATATATATATATATATATATATATATATATATATATATATATATATATATATGTAAACATATTTTCGTTTATGTTAATGTGAAAATTAATAATTTTGTACCAAAAGCACTTTAGAAAACTTAAGATAAGATAAGATAAGATTTCGTTCGGATTTTTAACCCCGGAGGGTTAGCCACCCAGGATAACCCAAGAAAGTCAGTGCGTCATCAAGGACTGTCTAACTTATTTCCATTGGGGTCCTTAATCTTGTCCCCCAGGATGCGACCCACACCAGTCGACTAACACCCAGGTACCTATTTGCTGCTAGGTGAACAGGACAACAGGTGTAAGGAAATGTGTCAAATGTTTCCACCCGCCGGGAATCGAACCCGGGCCCTCCGTGTGTGAAGCGGAAGCTTTAGCCACCAGACCACCGGGCCACCTAACCTTATTATAACAAGCGCAATTTGATTTAGCCTAATCCAGCTAAATATATTTTAGATAAGTTTACAATAATTAATAATAAACAAACACAGTGAAATATATTTTTTTCGTTAGGTTCAGAATTATTTTTTTGCGAAATTATTGCATATACAAATTTTCGCTTGCCTTATTCGGCAAGAAGAACGTTGCTATTTAAGTCATACTCGCAAGTTTTACCTATTCGGCACGACATATATGTATATATTATAATCACACACACACACACACACACACACACACACACACACACACACACACACACACACACACACACACACACACACACACACACACACTAAGGGTAACCCCAAAAAAGGAAAAAATCACTCTCATTATTACTCCATCATTGTCTTACCAGAGCACGTCAAATCATTTAAACCATTTGCCTCCCTTCCTGTCTAACACGCTCACGTACGCCTGCTGGATGTCCAAGGCCCTCACACTAAATCTTCTTTTACCCCCTCCCTCCAACCTTTCCTAGGACGACCCTTATCCATTCTTCTCTTCACTACAGGTTTATACACTCTCCAAGTTATTCTGTTTTGTTCCATGCTCTCTAACTTTCCAGACCACCTCAACCTCTCCTTAGCCCTCTGGAAATGCTCTTAATAACCCTGCACTTCCTCCTGATATTCAAACTACAAATTCTCTGCATAAGATTCAGTACTGTATGATACTTGTAGGTTTAGTGCTTAGTCACGATTATAATAATCAGGGAAATATTCACACCACACATTACCTTCAAACACATCTACACTGCTTCCAGCCTCCTTACTGCAACGTTCAAAACACGTCTTACATACTTATATAAGAGTGCTGATACCAATATTGATACTGATACACCCCCCTTTACATTTCCATGGATAACGTTCTTTGTCTCCACATATGCCTTACTACACCATCCCCTCGTCAGTTCTATGGTTCACCTCATCTTTCATAAACCCATCTGCCGACGAGTCCACTCCCAGATATCCAAACACATTCACTTTCACCAAATTCCCTCCCTCCAATCTGATATCAAATCTTTCGTTACCCATTTTTTGTTATTCTCATCATCTTGCTGTTTATTGCACTGTATCACTAAGCTACGAGGGTTACAATAGGAAGACATTACACAGCACATCTGTATCAGCGACATAAACAGTAACCCTAAAGTCTTTTTACATTCCCCAGAGACTTTCACGGTATATCTAATCTTATATCACATCAAACTATATAGTCCATAATAGTCTATTATTGTCCGATACTTGTGCAAATCGTTGCTAATATATAACTATGCTTATACTACTAATTCTATTTATATACTTTGTTAATTTGAAGCTGTAATCTGCAATACAGATTATTTCTCTTAAAGATTATTGCTTTCCAACATTCTTGCTTTCAAAGATTATTGCTTTCAAAGATTATTGCTTTCTCCTTTCATCCTTCCCCAGAGAGACAAAGAGATGGAGATAACATTCCTCTCAGATATTAATTAATAATTGACTATGTATCACATATGGTAATTTTACCGAGTCTTTTGCTGGTTCACAACACAATAATATTTTCTTTGATGCCCAGGCAGCCACCTGTTGGAATATCTCCCTTTAATTCTGTGCTTATTTTATGCATTGATAAATATTCATGCCACATATATGAATTTTAACACTAATCCCTCCTGTCCACTGGGTTCTCTCCATTGGTAAAGCCGCTGCAGCTCTCACTAATGTAACAATGATATATTGTCAGTTAAAACAAATAAGTATGATTTATTTAGGCTAAATGTCTTTTTCAGTTTTATAATATTTGCTGTATTTGTATTAAACACTTGACGATTATTGTAGGCATTCATTTGTGATAAATTATTGAAATTTAATTTAGAATAACCCAACAAAGCAAAGAAGAAAGTGAGATATATTTTCATTTTATATGTAAGGATAAGTCACAGTACCGTAGCTGGAACAATTCGTAACAATCCCACAAATTGGAGAGGAACGTGGACTGTGTTTCAGTCCGTCCTTGACTTTATAATGGCTCAGAACACACTCAAACTCCATCCAGTTTCATTTTCGATTTGTGAGTTAGTGAACACTGCTGAGTATTCGTGTTGCCTCTCTCTCCATCTTGCTGTTATTCTCTCCTGTAATCTCCACTCACGTTCTCTCTGGTTCCCAGGAGCCGCTAGAAGAGTACGTGGCCAAGCTGCCGGTGTCGGTCCGTGTGATCCGATCAAGTGTCCGGACTGGCCTGATCCGAGCCCGACTTCTAGGAGCACAGGAAGCCAGGGGCACTGTTCTAACTTTCCTAGACGCTCACTGCGAGGCCACTGCAGGTAACCCTACTTCACCACGTATTCGTGATACTGGTGGTGGTTTGTCTGTAAGGAAAAATACCTCTTGGACCCCTGTAGAGATTAAATAACCTGTGACGTTCCGGAACATTGTCATTTCTACCTTGTTCTTTCAACATTGATTATTTTCCATCTCACCATTTTCACTTCTACTTTCACTTGTCCTAAGCTATATCATTGTTTTCCCTGTAACATATTTTTCAACGTAAATCTCTTCTATATTCTGTGTAGTAAACTATCCTAATCAAACCACAGAACGGGCAGGTGAGTCCTTATCAGGTAAATTAAATTTATTATAAGCTTTTGCGTTTAGTGTGTGAGAATACCCATTAAAACCCGATATTTTTAATATTAAAAAACGCTGAGGTAATACAAAAATTGCCGAATTTCATGCGAGTGCTGCATTTGTTAAGGCAAACATTATAATGAATAAGCGTCAAAATATTTTTTATTCGATAAATATTTATGAAAAATCGTGTCTACTCGCTAGAGAACTGTGATATTTTTGCGAACAAATAAATTGCTCTATTACTGCGTGGCTTTCTGTATAATCCGGATTAAAGCTAATGCCGTACCGTAGTTCCATGCTTTTATTCACATCTTTTATTTATTTTTATTTAGCAAGCCTACGTAAATCATGATTATTGTTTAGCAGAACTGTTAAGCTTCGTTCTAACAATCAGGTGATCGACTCGTGACTAATGACTGCCAGTTTATGGAAAGGAAATCCATGTAATTTATTCAGGGATGCTATTCAAGAACGATTACCTTAATGTTGCATAATTACTGATATTCACGTATGATTACCTAATATTGTATGATTACATTTCCGGTCTAATTGCTATACACTTTTACCCAGGATGGCTTGAGCCTTTGCTGTCGAGAATTGCAGAGGATCGAACCCGGGTCGTTTGTCCCATCATTGATATCATTCACGAGGACACTTTCCAGTACGTGCGCTCCTTCGAGCTCCACTGGGGCGCCTTCAACTGGAACCTACACTTCAGGTGGTACACTTTGGGCCAGCAGGAACTTGATGTACGCAAGAAAGACATCACTGAAGCATACAGGTGAGCCGGGATTCAACAGGATCCCTTTCTGTAGCGAGTTAGTAGAGATTATCGTCTCTTTTCTGTGAGGAACATATCACAGTTCTGTGTCTGTAACAACACGTAGAACTCCTACAAATTTAATATAAAACTTTGAGAGAATTATAATCGTTCACGAACCATTAGCTAGTCCATAGTGTGAAAGAGAGTGAGTTATTTCTTCCTCACCTTGGCGCTGACCTGACTTCTGGCTCTTATTTCCTCCTCGTGAATTAATAATTAATTCATACTGCACCGAAATGTTGTATAATTTCCATTTCAATGGATTCTAAACTCGGTATAGATATCTAGTAGAAAATTCTATACTTAAGTTTAGTGTTTAGTAACTCGAGCACATTATTTTTTTTTTTTTTTTGGGGGGGGGGGAAAGGATGAAGGCCAGGACGTTTTGGCTTTGGAAATAGCTGACGCAATTTATACTAGCTATGATAAAATGTTTTCTCTGTGGACAAAACCTGAAATTGAAAACTCCAGGTAGTGTAAACAAAAGCAAATCACTTGGAAATTTATTTTGGCTGCTGGAACTGTCATCGTAATCTTCCTGGTGATCACAACTTTCACAAGTAGGAAAATATTCCTTCTGGAGTATATGTAGCATACGTATATCCACAATTATATGATACTTATTATTTAGCAATCATTTGAACTTGTATGCATGTCATTACCATTTACGATAGAAATGTTTATAAAGAAAATGATAAATCATGAAAAACATCTGTTTATATGGCTACATGGTGCATCTGGTGGTCTAACCTGGGTACTTAATGTATGAATTTTTTATGCATATTTATATTAAATTCTGCCTCTGTCGTGAAATTTTTCTATTCGTAATTTTTTTAATTAAAATTAAATGCAATAGATTTTGAAAATTAACAGACAACCGGATCTCATAGAGACAAGTTATGAGAACATTTGCTTATATATTTTTGAGTTATCTTTTTCATTTCAAAGACAAATACTTCAGTTTTCTCCTGGAGAAATCTGAGTTGATTTTTTTTTAACAAACTGCGTAGTACAGTGCTTGTGCATGATGCTGGTGAATCTCGATGAATGTACCGCGACGGATCTTTGCTACACACGCATCTCTCAACACATTTTAGCTCTCAAAATAGGTTGGTACTCTTCCACTCTCATGCAGGACCCCAGCCATGGCTGGAGGACTCTTCAGCATCCACAAGGACTACTTCTACCAGCTGGGATCCTACGACCGGAACATGGACGTGTGGGGCGGTGAGAATCTCGAGATGTCCTTCAGGGTAAGCATCCTGAGGCCCTTCACAGAATGTTTTCATTTGCTCCAAGATTATTATTATAATCAAAAAGAAGCGCTAAGCCACAAGGGCTATACAGCATTTGCTCCAAGAGCATCTGAGATGCTGATGCTGTCCACCCGCTTGAATTCGTTGCAATGAAATTTAAATCCGTTATAATTTGTACTAGTTTTCAGATATTTGTTTAACAGGTTCATGCATTTTAAAATACCTTTGTTGGTTAACTGTGTCAGAGGTTGTAATGTGCTGTATGTTATGGAAATATGATGCAATTCTTTGCGTTAAAATACAAATTAAACCTTAAAATGGTTGTAAAAGTCGTTGGAGTTCGGTTAATTATTACCAAAACTATAGTGTGAGTGTTTTTATAAGTTTAATTGAAGAGTTAAACCTAGCCAGTTGTACTACATTGTTGGTGCAGGTGTGGATGTGCGGAGGGTCGGTGGAGATTGCTCCCTGTAGCCACGTCGGTCACGTCTTCAGGAAGAGCTCGCCGTACACTTTCCCAGGCGAGGGTGGCGTCGGCGGCGTCCTCTACCGTAACCTGGCCCGTGTTGCACTCGTCTGGCTGGACGACTGGGCAGAGTTCTACTTTAAAATCAACGCTGGTAGGCTGAGCAAGGAAAACAAACACACACCACACACACACACACACACACACACACACACACACACACACACACACACACACACACACACACACACACAAACTCATACACACACACACGCACACACTCACACACACACACACACACACACACACACACACACACACACACACACACAAACTAATACACACACACTCGCACACACTCACACACACACACACCCACACACACACCCACACACACATACACACACACACACACACACACACACACACACACACACACACACACACAGCGAAGAGGCTGGGCCAGGAGCTGTGACTCGACCCCTGCAACCACAAATAGGTGAGTACAAATAGGTGAGTACACACACACACACACTCGTACTCATATACAACAGGCCTAGTGTCTAATCGACATGTGCCTAGGACAAAATGGTAACTAACACACACACACACACACACACATACACACACACGTACTCAAATACAACAGGCCTAGTGTCTAATCGACATGTGCCTAGGACAAAATGGTAACTAAGAAAATGGTAACTAACACACACACACACACACACACAAACACAGGAAGTGGAATAGCCTAGTAAGTGAAGTAGTGGAGGCAGGAACCATACATAGCTTTAAGATGAGGTATGATAAAGCTCATGGAGCAGGGAGAGAGAGGACCTATTAGCACTCAGTGAAGAGGCGGGGCCAGGAGCTGAGTCTCGACTCCTGCAACCACAATTAGGTAAGTACAATTAGGCGAGTACACACACACACACACACACACACACACACACACACACACACAACACACACACACACACACACGTATATATCTTGTCAGGATTATTATTTTGTATGCAGCGCTCTTTTAACCATAAATTCGGATGATTTCAGTCTTCCTGCTTCCTTGAAAATATTGTATCTTGCCTCCGTAGTGACGTACGAGTGTCACTGCATTTAGTGAGTCGCTCGCTTCACTTTTGTTTATCCTTTTAAAAGCTTTCTCATCGGCTTGAACATGTTCAGTAATTCATCTTTCTTCAAGAAGGTTGATCACCTCTTCTGGTAACCGTCATCTCCCTTTCTTTTATTCTATCTCAGATGTTCAGAGCTCTCCTTTCCTCATTGCGATGTTCCTTGTAAATCCTCAACATCAGCCTTCTTATTGAGCTTTAAGTTGTCCTCAGTAAGACGACTTTTTATGGTAATATTAACCTTAGTCAACGCTCATCAGTCTTACAGTGACTGCTATGAATCCTCTGGAGATTTATGATGATCCCAAAAATTTTGATAAGGTAAAGTATATCTTTTTAATCTCCTAACATCCATCCTCTGGCTGGATATCTCGTATTTTGCCTTTTCGCCTGTTTATTATTATTATTATTATTATTATTATTATTATTATTATTATTATTATTGTTATTATTGTTATTATTATTATTATTACAATCAACGTCTGTCCTCTACCCAACTCTATCGTTTTTCATTAATGGTCTTTATAACATATAGTTTGCATTTGCATGAATTCTGGAGAGTCTAGTTGGCATACCTCATATTTCAGGCAAGGACTTTCGCCTGCTTTCGCTGACTCGTATTTTGGGGGTTTATGTCTAATCCTGATCTTTATTTCATCTCTCTCTGTGGCCCACTTACAATGTAACTGAATATAATTCTTTTGTAAGATTAATTCAGATTTTGAAGATTAATTGATAGTTTTACTTTGAAGTCTTGTGTTTAATCCTCTATTAATACATTAGGTATTATAATAAATTTTGATTTAATCCGGGAAGTTCTAATGTACATATATAATAAATGCCGTCAATTTAGGGTGATCTTCATGTACAGAAGGCATTAATTTCTCAGTTATTCCAGCCTGTAACTTTGGCGTTGTTGTGGCCTGTGATATTACAGAGAAAGTTTCGTTGTCTGTGACACATTACGGTAAATGCAGTGAGGTAGCGTATCTATCTAGTTATGCCAGGCAGAGGATCGTACCTACTCCGCTTTTTTGCCCACTGATAGATAGTATGTTGTGCATCTGGCAGAGGCAGCGCGAGTGCGTGACGACGTCACAGTTCGCGATAGACTCATGCTAAGGGATCGTCTCAGCTGCCACGACTTCAAGTGGTACCTTGACAACATCTGGCCCGAGCACTTCTTCCCCATGAAGGACAGGTTCTTCGGCAAGGTCTCTCATACTGTCTTAGCATTGCAAACATTAGAATTTTTGTTTGTATGGTCTGTAAATATTTTACCTTTCTGTATATTCATACAGTTTTTTTTTTAGTAATATGGATTAGGAGACTGAATAAACCTTGTAGCTTTATCTTGTTAATGATACATTGATTTCAGAAAAAAAAAGAAATTATTTAATGACTTAAGATGGAGAGAAGGCAAAACATTTGAAGAAAAAAATCACCATGTACTTTATTATATTCTTCTCGGGTCTCTCTTCAGATTCGTCACGAGCAGCTGGGTCGGTGCTTGCAAAGACCAGTGGGTCCAGGGGGAAGCAACCAGCCGACGGGACCAGCCCTGCTACGAGAGTGTGTCATTGAGACCTTCCCTCTCCAGACTTTTGTCTTCACAAAGAAAGGTCAGTGATGTTTCCTTTTTAGTCCTAAAGCAGCTAGATCTCACAGGGAAGATGCTATTTTGTCTATGAATCTTAGTTGCGGCAGATAGTTCCTACTACGTCACCTTATATGTGGAATCATTATGTGTGTACAGCTTGACCTTGCAGTATTTTGTGAATGTGCAGCATGTACGGCATTCACCTCTACAAATTTTACAGCAAAATTTGTGTTGGAAATATGTAAGCATAACTGTTTTCCACATGTTGTTAATATATTATTATTACGATTTATAAGGTATTAACTTTAATAACTTTGATATTTTGTAGCATACTTGTCCAGCTTTCTCCCAATCCCTTTATTGTTCTCAACTTTGTAATACTCCAGGAAGGACCGATACGTCTAGTTTATATTTCCAAGTTATGCTTTAACTGTGAATTGTTCCAGCCACGTTATGAAGACTTTAAACTTTACTACTTTACACTAACTTTGGTTATAGACCACTTTAATATTTGACCTACTTGATCATCTTCGACAGGTGTACAACTCAGTGTATATCTCTCTATATATATTCATTGAGTATTCGTTAATCCATGCTTAAGGGAATAATGTAATCTTAATAAGGAAAGCTTAAATAGCAACCTTAATAACCCTAATGCAGTTGATGGACTTGAAACTTAACTCGCTAACTGATCATCTCAATCCACTTACAGCAATATTTTTAAGTGTCATCTGTGTAGCTTTACCTGAGATTTTGCCTCATTTCATAATATAAACTTAGTATTAACTCTAGGTGTGTCCCCCTTTCCCAGGGTACATCATGACGGACGAGAGCGTGTGTCTGGACGCCCCTGATGCAGATTCAGCCAGGGAGCCTCAGGTGCGCATCATGGCCTGCAACGAGTTTGAACGTCAAAGATGGACTTACGATGAGCAGAGCCGACTTCTGAAACACCTGATGTCCGGACTCTGCCTGGACCTGCCCTCCAAGGCAAACCCGGAGACCCTCTCCCTACAAAAGTGTGACGCTTACTCAAGAAGTCAGAAGTGGCACTTCCAGCACGAGGACTGGACTAAATCGCGGTGATATCACGTGAGAAAAAATGTGATTTAATAAAATATGGAGGAGATTAGACCTTCTGAAAATCTTTGGATAATTAACTAGTTAGTACTCTTGGAGAGTAAATAGGTAACTAACAGCATAAAATATAATCCAAAAGGAAGGACCTTAATATTGTGACGAGCTCTCACCTGCAGAGTTCTGTGTTTGTGAATAAATGTCTGTGATACTTTAAACATGAATACGAAGGAATAAAGTTATAGCTCTATTTTCCGGTTTATACTCAGCATTTCGATGTTTGATGCACTGTCAGCTACTCAGTTCTTACGAATGACTGCCTGACGAGATATAATCAGGCATGTTAAAACGGATAAATAAACATTTAATTACATGTATTGCAACACAAAAGTGTAATTAACGCTGGTCAGCGGAAGAAACGAACGCACATGTAGACAATAGAACTCAAAATGAATATTGAATATTCCGTACTCTCACTGAAGCAGTTTTCAGAAGGATCTTGGTAAATGGCCGAAGTATATGGTACTCATTACATTAATGGCATTTAATACCGTCAAGTTGACAAAGACACGTGTAACACCTGGGTAAATATATTATGTGGAGCAGATATAAAACTAAAACTCTAAATATCGACAAGGATAACATACCAGGAAAGACAAAATATAAAAAAAACAACAACGTCAGGTTGGATGACGATGCAGTTAGTCGAGATTATAGGTTTAAAAATCGTATTGACTTTAAAATGTTTACAGTAACTAGTAACGTTGATGACTATGCTAGCTACACGCAATCGCGGAGAGAACGCAAAATAAAAATATGAAATTCTCAAGAAGAATTTAAAAAGAGATTTCGCGCGAAGTCAAAGGTAATAAAAAAAAAATAAAGTAAGATGTGAATAATGTTAAAGCAACGCGAGGACTTTAAAGCAGCGATAAAGGCAGGATAACAAAGGGCAGAGATATGTCGTTTATTCTCGACACAGCCACTCAACGCAGCCACTCGACACAGCCACTCGACACAGCCACTCGACGCAGCCACTCGACGCAGCCACTCGACACAGCCACTCGACACAGCCACTCGACACGGCCTTCGGGCCGGTATTTAGAGATGAACAAGCACCAATCTTTACAGGCCGCAAAATATGTTTTAAGAGACTGAGTATTAGCGAAATTAGTACCCCTGACATACAGCACTTGGAGATGCTAAATATTAATTAACAAGTCAAACAGGCATGATCTACAAGCCAGTGTTATATAATACTGTAGATACTAAATCAGTGATAATATTTAAAATTCGCTAGCACTAAAGGTGGCAAACTGGAAATTAACAAATGTTAATCCAGTATTTAAGAAAGGAAACAGAACCTGTACCCTCAACTATTGACCCATTAACTGAACGTCAGTATGTGGTAAACAAAGATTATTATTAGGGACAAGATAGTATTTACTGGTAAATATAACCTGAAACCAGCGTGGATTTTGCAAAGAAAGATCATACCTGACAGAGGCATATTTTACTTAAAATTTTTTGAGAGTGGCAGTGGAGTAATGAGTATAGACAGAAACAGAACTAAGTAGAGGAAGTTGTACCTAGGCCTTCCCACATTTCCATTTCTCCAGTAAATTCCAGCTAGTGGCTGGAGGGTGAAGAGTAGGGGGAGAGCCTTTTGCTTTTATATCCTTGACTAGCACACTTAGATAATACACGACATGTCTTAATTTAGATAGAAGTAGATATTATTATTATAATCAAAAAGAAGCGCTAAGCCACAAGGGCTATACAGCGCTACATAGAAGATAGTTCTCAGCAGATAGCCTTGGCGTGGATTCACAATTCCTTTGCAATCTGTGTTTCCCATATACTCTCATGTACACATGGGAACACTGGAAGATAAGGTAATCAATCCCTCAGTGCTTCTTAATAAAGATACCCAGATGTTGCACATGTCTTATGCACCACCATTATTATCTTCTCTTTTATTGTTTCCATGTTGGTTCGTTAGTGCCAATTACATATATAAAAGTGGAACAATTATATAATCTTCACAAGTGCTGAGGTAAAAAGCGAAGAAAGAAGTCACTTCGTTGCGAGAAATTATTGTAAGGTTCACGGAAAGGAATTTCCTGTGTTCATAGCTGAATTTTTTTTTTTATAGTAAATACGTTTTTTCTGCGGCTGTTTTTGTCCAAGCACTGCATAATCCTATGGGTTTAGTGCTTCCTCCTTGATTATGATAATCTACAGCTGTTTAATGTTGACTAAACATGTTAAGTGTTCAGTGTAGAATGTAATTACTGCTACATAGCAACTCTTGGTCAGTTAGGTTCACAAAAAAAAAAAAAATATCTCTTCACGTTTAAAGTTTGTAAATTAAGCTAAACCATTTTACAGTACTTTTTTTTTCGCCAGTTGTCAGTATTTAATACATATCGGTGATGTGGACCAGACATCTGTTCATTTTTTAGCTTCTATTGATACACAGGTGTAGAAAGACACGTAAGCAAACACTATAACATATTTATTAGAAAACGTTTCGGTCCTGGAACCTTGATCACTTCTTCACTTGATCAAGGTCCCAGGACCGAAACGTTTTCTAATAATATGTTATAGTGTTTGCTTACGTGTCTTTCTAAACCAACTTGTCGGTATTTATTACCAAGGTTTATACCATACACAGGTGTAAATAAGGTAGAATATCCCGTGTCTTTTACAATGGCGCTTATTCTTGAAATTAACAAATAAACGAACTTACTCAGAAACTGAAAATTGTTAGGTGTTGATTAGTCAACCACTAATTTAAGATATGCACACTTAAAGACATGAAATAATGAACAGTGGTCCCTAATTGCAGGAAATTCAACAAAATAGAAAAAAGACTAATACAGCTTTTGTATTCTGGCGTTCCCCTTACTTTGAGTATTGTAATTTATATATAATATATATATAATATATATATATAATATATATATGTATTATAAATTTCATATATATATGTGTATGTGCGTGTGTAAAAATGTAAAGCCGACCTTTAATCATGTGGAAGAATATACACTGCAAGACTGTTTTGTGGAAGATTAAGGCACAGCGATTATTATTAATTAACCTTTGTGGGGTCAGTCGGTGCATGGAGGGCTCGATCCTCCGTTCGCTGAACGCCGCTCAGCTTCTGTATCCCCAGATGCGAATTAAAACGTCAACATCTACACCGGTGTAGAATTTATTATTTTTCACTTTACCTATGTGGAGTTTTAAATATTTTTTTTAATACCAAAGTTAAAATGTTGACGTCAATACAGGTAAGAGAAATTTAATTTGATTCTGTTAGGGCCACACAAATTCCCATCAGTTCACTCACATTAAGTCAAAATTTTAATCTATAATAAATTGAGATATAAAAGTAACTGGAAACTTTTAGTTTCTTATATTTTGTGTAGCTATTTTTACGCTCAATTGTTAGACGCATCATTGAAGTGTAAATATGTATACATAGTGTGTATGATGGTGTATAGTGTGTATGATGGTGTATACTTAATCGTCACGTCAGTGAGTCTGTCACATGTCATTCCAAGCAAAAATGTTGGTATTTTTATGATAATCATAAATATTAAACTAACTAAAGCGTATTGGTATATAATTATCATTCTCTTACTGGGTACCTGTTATTAACTTTTTTGTATGCCAGGTATAGCCTTTGTGGTTTAGCGCTTCTTTTTGATTATAATTAATAATAATAATAATAATAATAATAATAATAATAATAATAATGTATGCCAGGTAAGTTTCTCACAGTATTTTCTACTTTGTTATACCCTCGCTAGTCTTATCTCACACACAATAAAATCCAAGTGTCTACCTACAAGTGCCTTTGACACATGGACAGCTCTGTATAACCCTTGTGGATTTAGAGCTTTGATTGTAATAATAATAATTATAATAATAATCTGACACATTGTAACTAACACACATTATGTAACATTTTTCTTAATTCTGAGATACAAAAAAAAAACACACACAAAAGGGTTTTTATTTATATTGTGCTATACATTTTTTACACATTACTTCAAAGTAAAAACTTAGAATAAAATGACACGGGAAATTATATTAAAACGACAAGGAATGTTAAGTCAACACGTTTGATCCTTGCTGTGGAAATCCCTTCAAGGAACCATAATGTGTCTCATTCGTATTCGTGGGGGGAGCACTAAACCGTAGGGGTCATACAGCGCCAAGGACGGGGGGCGGAGGGGGAACGGGAGGAATTTTAGATTCAGTACAAGGTAGAGAGAGGTAGGTTCAATCCCTTGGATCAAGAGCCCCTTACCAGCGTCAAGGAACCTCCTTTAAAGAGTGGCGTTTGTGAAGGGCTCTTGATCCATGGCATTAGTTATCCTTTCCTTATCTGTTTCTTATTTTCAGGCGTTGTATAATTAACGAGTTTAGAGCTTTCCCACGAATGTCAATTTGTATTTCTCGAGAATAAAAAAAAAATTTAAGTAAAAGGACACAAGTGCAACTAATGTGACATTTTATTGTGGCAACGTTTCGCTCTCCAGGAGAGCGAAACGTTGCCACAATAAAATGTCACATTAGTTGCACTTGTGTCCTTTTAATTTATATATTGTCGGTAATGCTGCCAAAATATATACAAAAAAAAAATCGTGCCACAACTGTTGTGAACGAGAATGCCCATGATGATGGTTCGAAAAAAATGCCTTTGAGGTAAAGAGCTTTCGCTTAATGTGGGCGAAGAGCTCTTCATCCAAGGACTTTCAGCCATCCTTATCTTATTCAGGTCAAAACTAGTTATCTCCATTTTACAGGCTCAGTAAAACCCCTACGCGTTTAACACCTAAGCGTAAATGTAATTATTCCTACTAAACTTTTAATCACGGTTTTCAAGGCAACATTGGTGCATGTTACAAAAAAGTAATCCCGGACAGTTTAAAAAATAAAAAAAATATATAAGGAGTTTTTAAAAAAAATCTAAATTTCTCACTTGGTTTTACATTACGTCAAAACTACCATTTTTTTATATACTGTAAAACACTTCTCAGCTTCTTTTACACTTCATAACCAATTTCAGTTTAGAATTAAATCTTCACTGCTATCTGGATTCTAAATTTTTAATTATTTTATCTAGATTGTGGTTTGTAAGTGTTTCTTTAAACTGTTTCAAACAATCTAGGTTTTACCTCCAACTGAAATCAATTTTAGTCTAGATAAGAGGTGCTCAGATTAGTTAGATTCTCAAGTAAAGCTGAATCATTGTCATTTTAAGTCTTAAGGAACTCTAACCTATATATGTAACCACACTAAGGCTCCTAAGCCAGTGATTTGGTAACTACAGTAATGCCTCTTTATCCCTTGGTCAATTTACCCTCATGTGGTTAAGACGCCATAACATATGTTCATAATACCTTTCGTAAATGAAATAGATATTGTGTGTGAAGTGTGCTACACACAGGCTCTAGGAGAGTTAATTTAAACGACCGTACGAATACGTGTGTGTGTGTGTGTGTGTGTAAAACATCGGTACAGTTATAACTACAAGTGTATCGTGTCTATACCTTAATACATACATAGGTCAATGCTAAAGGAACTTTTAAATACCGCAACACACAGCTTCATCATTTGGGCTCTACTAGTGAGGAAGAACTGAGAGTGGCACTGGCACTTACAAATATTTTCAAGAAACTCGCATGTGAGAAAATGGAAACTAGAGGACGTTTCTGTCCCTCATGGAGAGTGAATGTGTTACTTGCGACTTGATAATGGTGTTGAACGAAAGTTTTTTCATTCAGAAATTTGTGGGTCGGTTGTGGATTGCTCCAGTCACGGAACAGTGACTTCTTAAGTTATGGCAGCAAGACATTTCCTTAACACAGCACTTAGTGTACCTTCAGCAATTAAAATCCTCAGCACAACCTCAGCATATTTCCTCGCCACATCGTTCCCCATATATATATACTGTACAGGTAAGTCTATGCTCACTGAATACTATAAATAACAACTTGCAAATAATTCGGTCACATAACATTCATATCTACTCACAGAACAACATTTTGCATAAATAAGACAAGTAACATTCACTCATAACACAATATTTAAATTAAAAACTTTATCGTAAACATAAGGTATCACACTGAAACCTTTTACATGCAAATAGCACAAAGTCTTGTATCCAGACTCGATGATAAACCATACAAGTAAGCTTTTTCTAAAAATTTAAGAAATTAATATTAAATAAGCTTAGACATTCCTATACAAGCCTCAGGATCTAAGATTGGTTTATGTACAAATCTTAGATTTTGTGAGACTACGAGAAAGTCATTTACAGGTTTTGTTTTACAAAGCATAAACAACGGCCTCTGACCAGTCCATCTGTAGTGCGACTTTGAGAAATACATTCTTTATCGCTTTCAAAGAATCCTAGAAAACCTTCAGTCTTGCATTATTAATACTAAAATATTTACAATATTTTACAAAGCCACAACGCATGTAGAAAAGGATTCCGACAGCGTCTTGATAATCAAAAATGTCCCTAGGGTCTAAAGGTAGACTTCAGTCCCTCAAGGAAGTCCTGAGGCTTTTGAGAGTGTTGGCGGAGTCTTCGGAAGTGGTGACGGTGTAAGGAGACCTCACACCCCTACTGAGGGTGGAGATTACGCGGTGTTCCTCAGGCGGGAGCTTTCTTCGTCTGGCGAACACACACATGACTGCGATCAACACTATGCACACCTGCTCAGAAAGACGACTACATTACTGTCATAATAACTACTGGTACGAAGCGGAAGGAATGTGAAAATACTCATGATTCCTATGCAATTACTTTGTCCTGTGGAAGCTGTATGATCTGAATATGCTGCGTTGTATGACCCGTAGGGGTCTACCGCTTACTTTTGATTGTAATATGGTCTGAATAAGTGCTAGGCTAAACTGTTAGTGGTAAATTCGCTATCTGATTGTGGGTGGGTAAGTTTTCAAGAGATTTGTGAAAAATTTTGTAGGCTAATTCGCATGTATTTGGATTGCATTTCCAGAATGTTAATGTTAACAGTACCACGAACAGAGGCTGTTAACATTACCATTCCGCAATTCGTGAAATTATTTACAAACATTTGGTCTCTTGACGCCACATAACTGAGCAGCCGGAGGAGACTGACCACCGGGCACCGGGCTAGTCCCAGACTATTTCATCGCTTCCCGCGTGCACTGGCTAACTAAAGAAATTTTTGAATGCTTAGCAATCTACGAGCAAAATTGCATAGAAATATTTTATCTCAAACTTGTACAGGACATCCTTTACACACTGGCTAGTCACGTGAGCAAGAATTCAAACTCCACCTGGTTTATCCTACTAGGCATCTATAGCAATGTGAAGTCTGAGTGAATGTAGGACTGTGTATTTTGATTCCCTGCTCATGTGGAGAGTCAAGTTGCAGAGGTTCCAGTCCTCCGTTGGTCTTAAATCAAATGTTTATAAATAATTACGCTTATTGTGGATTAAGCATTCCAAAATCTTTCTCGTGGGCCAGGGCATTGGAGGAGGATAAGATAAAATACCTAGTCACCAGCTGGTGATCCTCTGGGAAACAGCTGTTAATATTTACTGGTTGAAGGGATAGAGTACTGTGTGTTTTTTTGACTCCCTGTTCACACGGACAAGGTGCGGAGATTAGAGTCCTCTTGGTCAGAGATAAAAACATATGTATCATTTAAATTATTATTATACATGTTTAATATACGAGTCACTGATGATTATTTGATTGAAAGCACTTAGCGGACCTTTTGACTAGGGTGTGCGTATTAATGCAATGCCAAATAGAGATTGAAGTGAGAGGAATGAGGTTGCTCACCTGTAGGATGAGTGCGGAGACCACTATAGCAATGAGAACCTCCCTCGAAGTACACACCAGCTGCGCCAGCCTGCGAGCGTCTGCAATAAATCATGGAAACTCCTTTGTATAAAAACGCAAATTTTAGATACTGATGTACATGTTTCTTTGAAAATAGTTTCAAGAATAATGTGTACATTAAATTCGTCACTTTTGCGCTTTCTTTTTTAACAATAACAAAAGCTAAAAAAATCCCTTTGAAATTCATGCAATTCAGCACTTTCTTACAAGTTCCTAGAGCGGGACCTATTTATACTGCAGATATTTCCTGCCTTATCTCCTGGCTAAGATACGCTGACGACGTCTTGGTCATCGTTCCCAGACACTTCTCTTCGATCCTTACTACGATCTGAAGAAACTGCTTAGCGGCCGACCAACAACCCAATCAGATATAACTAATTCAAAAATCTTTCGTGTAAACTCGATGAATTATGATAAAGTGACAGTATAATATTTAAATATGATGCAAATTGTGTCCTACATCACAACAAATACCTTAATAACTTCAACTCAACAAATTTGAACCTCTCAAATTACTTTTGAAAAAGTGGAGAATGTTTCAAGTTCTAAGCCTATGGAAAGCCTAACGAACAAGGATGACCTGACTTATTCATCTCCCACTACCATCTCTGAACTTAATAATTAAAGGCTTCTCTTGAGTTCCCTTCGGATCTGCTGTAGCAAGTTCCTACTAGACGAACAAATGAATATAGAAAAGACTTTCTCCACCTTCAAATTTACCGTGTATATCATCCACTCCTATAAAATCAAAGCCATCTAGGCTAAAGGACTGATTAACTCGTCTTCTACTATCTACGGTTGCAGCACCTTCAAATAAACTCTGCACTGAATTCATAAAGCCATTGTACGGCAAAACGTCTTCAAAATAAACAAACCCAGGAGTTGCACATGTCTTATTCATCAACATTGTTGTATGCTCATTTAATTTACGTTATGCATAACCCCTGTTGGTTTGGCGATTTATTTGATTACGATTTAATTTACGTTAACCAAAACTATAACGGCACATGTACAGAGATCGTCTCGAATCCGCAAAGAAAACAAAAACTGACTTCAGAGGACAGACTGCTAGTCAGCACCCTGAGATTCACCCACCTGTCTCTTCGGGCAGTAGGCCCGTCCTCAGCGGCTTCACTGTGTTGCTGTTGACGATTATCTCCTTCTGAAGCGGCATCTCGTGGTAGATAGTGTCCTGGTCTATTTCTTCGGCGTCATTCTCAAGGACCAAGTCCTTTCCCTCAAGGGTTATCTCACCTCCCTCAAGGGAGATCTCCCCATCCAGCGTCAAGAGACCTCCCTTCTTAGTCAACCCTCGCCGCTTGCGCCCGTACGATACGATTGGACCACACTGAGCCTAGTACACCACCACCAAATTATTATTATTATTGTAATATTCATAACACCTCTGGGGATGTGCCTTGATGCTAGTGAGGGGCTCTTAATCCAAGGAAGAGGGCTTATCCACTCTTCTTGGGTTGAACTTCATTGTCTTTCATTCCCCATGTACTTGTATGACTAGTCATACAGCATCCGGGAACTAAGAAGTAATCAGGTTTGATCCAAGGACAGGGTGGCTCCAGTTCCTTGGATCAAGAGCCCTTCACCGGCAAAATGGACAAATCACACGGTGAAAATAATTACAAGGAACTGAGAACTGAGGTACCAATTTTTCTAAAGCATTTACGATTTAGGTAGCACAGATAATTACTTAGAATAGTGGAAAGCTTTCACATTAAAGTTCAGATGTGTGTGGGTGAGGAGCAGCTCTCACTGAGAGGATTATTCAGGCTAGAGTCTGAAACTCGGGCATCTTTCAAATATCACTGAGCACAATACATCCAGGTAAGAGGATATAACTTTGAATCCAGGTTTTTCCTTAGAATCACGAAAAAAAATCAGGCCCAGAGGCCCGTTTCTTACCCATCCCTTAAACCCATATGAAACTCATACTGCGACAGTTATCATGAGTGACCCAGAATTATCAAATAAATAATTCTTTGCTACAGCTCAATGGATGGTTTTCATCAAAATAAACTTAGTGACACTCATCTAGGTCCCCAAAACCCAGTCCCTTCGAATACACATTACGATTATTCATATCAAGTCAAACCTAAGATCTAAGAATAATTTCATAGGACTTACCGGACGACACTCGTCCAGACAAAACTGGACGTTAACCTGGAACCGGACCACTTGGTCCTCTGAGAACTTGAAGGCCTCAAATTTGCCCTGGAGACTCTTGGAGCCTGGCACAGGCTGGAGGGACGGGAAGATGACCGGGTCAACAGGGCACCCCCGCTCATCCAACAGCGTGATGGAGTCGCTGTTGTCACTGCTCTTGGCCACCAGGTTGCGGGCCAGGATGCCATATACACCTGTCACAAGGAACGTGGGAGTAAATTAATTGTGTAGGAAAGTAACAAATTGTTTAGAATCTGAAGGGCAAGCAGCTTATAGTAGTGAAGAGATGAAGCTTTGCACAACGAAGTTTTTCTGAACAAGGTTTCGAGATGCTTAGACCTTCAAGTTAAATAAAAGTAAGTAATTGTTTAGAATGCAAAATTCGTGTGTGTTATTCAGCTCAGGGAATGTTTGACGCTTCATTCTCTGACCTCTGATCTCATGACATACTATCCTCTCATATAAGTTTTAACAAGGCAAAATAAAATCATCAACCGTGAAAAAACCCAGAGGGGGGCTAAATAACAGTCAGCGAGGAACCAAGTTGCCATTCCTAGTACCTCTGGGAGGAGTTTTTTTTTTATTTTAACAAATTAAAGAACTGATGCAGATCTAAACAGACCGAAACCTGACCCCAAAAAATCATGTTCTGCAAAGCATCTTTTCTCACAATAGATTGTGCCTATATAACCGGGAACCGAACCAGCGTCCTGCCACTAGAAGTCAACAGCAAAACTACCGAGAGACGTGAGTTTTATTTTGAAAGCTCTTAACAAGACTTCTTTATATCTTTTATTTGTTAATTGTTATCAATAGTGCCAGATGTCTCCGTTGTATCAATTATAAATGTAAATGGCTACAGCAGTCAATAAACGCTAAAGTCACCCTTATTACTAACCTCGACCATGAAGAATAAGTCATTACCGTGACTGAAACAAGTCATACCTAGCCAACAATATAGAAAAGTAAACCGGAGGATATTTCGATAAGCCCAGGACCATTATCAGTCTAATAGTGAACAAAGAGGGCAGTGGCAGAAGATAATTCAGGGGAGTGGGAGGTGTCACAGTTACCATCATGGCACTTACTCTCGCTGTCCAGCTCTAGTCTGAGGTAGAGCTCCTCGCCCAGCCTGGCACCAATGATGTCATTGCCTTCGCGATCCACAATACGTAGGCGTATCCTGGGCGTAGGAGCCGTGGCGTTGACAATGCCCGTAGCCACTCCACCGCCTGGGAAACTGCTGTAAGGGTGTAACGTACATATCTATACATTGTTTCTTTTTAGCTGTTTAGTTTATATTAATGTTTATTTTTAAGACTTCAAACAAAACCCACTTATCTTTGACATCCGAGGCAATGACCAAACCCTCTTTTGTAATAACAGATTTTTTTTTCCTATATTTACCATTTTCGTGTTGATTCGATATTGAGTGGTAAGGAGAATGTGTCATTGAGGTCAGCGCCACTTACTCAACGATGAAGTTGTAACTGTCCGTGACCGTCTTGTTGCCGGTCTCGAAGAGACAAAGGAGCTTTATGGCTTTGTCTCCCCGGCGTTGTATGACAGGATGGTGTTGAACAACGATCACGTTGCTATACACGCCGTTCCCCTCGTCCATCACCCCGCACTCAGGGTCATGAAACTGCAACACAACGTGACTCAGTGAGGGAAAGGGGAAAGGGGAAGAGGGTCCTCTACATACATACTTCTGGATATTAAGGAAAGTGATTTCAATGAATCCATATGTAAACACTATAAAAAAATTGACTCCTGATACTTTCTAAGACACTCATGCTTAACAGTTTTGAGGATAAAATAAGTGGTTAGTATTCTCTTTTTATAACAGTCAGTATGACATTGTTTATGTGGTGGTTTTAAAGTATAACAGACAAAAGATAGATCCTAATTTATCCCAATACTCCTATCAATAAAAATTAATCATAAGTAAGCACGTTCGAGAGTAAAAATAGAGAAAATTTTGATCCGTCCTTGACTCAAAGTTCAGAGACTTAATGAAAAAAAGTGTTGGTACTTAATAACAAGGAGAGCACTTTTACATGAAGAAAGTGTTCGTATTCACCTTGATGACGAGGAAAGTGTCAGTACGGCCTTTATCCTTGGACTGACAGCTATTAGGAAAATCTCTTGAGAAAAGCCTTCCTTTAAAGGGCTCGCCAGTGTGCAGGGCAACTGTCATAGCGTCTACACTACACTCCAGACGTACTGCGGAGAACACACATGAAACACCATTACACAGGGAAAATAACACAAATGACAATTACAATAATCGCAAACACTAATAAATTAAAATAATTTAATTAAAAACACTTAAATAATAAACACAAAATTATGAAATAAATGTTTATAATAGTGATAATAATAACAGTAATTTACACAGGAGTATTTGAACCCTCAAAGCTGCTTAGTGTAAATTACTTGTTGCTTTCAAACGTAAGCCTCTCAGTCATTCCTAAATGTTTTCAACTTATCATAGCATGTGAAGAAGATACGTTTGTAGGAGAAAACTTTTAGATTTGTCAGCTCTTCGAGTCAAAGCATGCAAACTGCTCGCATATATATTCTGGTAAGAGTGGAAGAGGAGAGGAGTGAAATCATTTGTAATGAATAGTGGATCTATGGAGTGCTGCAGGAAGTAATCGCTAGGGTAATGCAGGAGGTACGTTGAACTGTGTTGAAATGTTGATAACAGGCGTGCTAGAGAGCTTTTCAGTCGAAAATAGATACATAATAGAGCCATCATATCAGTGAAAGAGGCATAACTAATGTTGTCAAGTGAGTACTTACGGTCGAGGCAAGTGGTGCGTTGGTAGAAGACAGCTCCTGGGAAGGGGAAGACAGCAGACGGCCCTGCAGACACAGTGTCGTCGCCTGAGAGACGACACACATTGGCACTCTCGAACCATGTGAACGACCGGCAGTTAAACGTCACCTCCGATTCACACGCTAGTTGGCACTAAGGAAGTGCGAGAGGGAATGAGGAGGAACGAGCGTGAGAAGAGCGAGGTGGGATATTGAGTGAAGAGGAGGTAGAATAATGAGAAAGCACATTAATTTATCTTATGTAATTCCTCACTGAGTGTTATACCCGCTAGTAGTCATAACAGAGCTGAAATTTTGGAGTATAAGGTGACCCAACTTTGTGTAATTATATAATAATCCGAAATCAAATGACAACAAGATAATCACTGTTTTCACTTACTTTAGGCCATCAGGAACAATTTGACTGGTCAGAGACCAAGCCGAGATTAACACACGGAGGATCGATCCTTCAATACTCTTCCGTTGAATAACCCATACAGATTTATCATTTCCACGAAATACAATGCAATCTCAGTGACGTGAAAGCAAAGGGGAAATCAGCTAAGACCCGATCCGTGGATAAAGTTACTCACCTCAGCCAAAGAACTGACGGTGAACTGGACGTCTCCGTGACCCATGTCTTGCTGAGGCAGCTCCTCGAACTCACAGTGTTGTACCTTCGAGACTGGGGGGGGGGAGGGACAAAACATTGCTATGTAGTGTTGAAATGACAAGACCAAAGAAGCATACAGAATTTACCAACCAATTGGGAATGGAAGTTAGAGGAAGTTTCGGATTGTCCTGGACCTTCATTGATTCGCGACTTAATAATAATTCAGGTCTTAATTTTTTAATTTGCAAAATTAGTTGTGTATTGTTCCAACTAAGGAACTGTGACTCATTCCACCTTAGAAGACGCACTCTAATTTTAATAAGAAAATCAAATATTATAGCGGCTGTCAGTTTCAACTTTAAGAATTGATGAAATAATCTGGAAGACTATCTTCCCACTGCCATACTGATTAACGGCCAGTACTATTATTAAAAATATTTTAATTCTTAAGATATGGATTGAGGTATAAGTGTAAATATACTAAGATGAATATACTCTTCAGTGTATATACATATATGCTTCTGAGATACTTCTCAGTGTATTCATGTACATTGTCGGAATAACACTTTACCGGAACCTCTATTCAAACTGTTCCGAGTCACCACAAAGAAATTTACACTGTACAGTATTAGCACTTATTTAGCATCACTATCATTGGGTATTGGGGCTGCACGGCTCATTTTACCGACCCGATAAATACCTCGTGAAGTCTGACCCGAATACGCCTGTGTAATGGCTTCACATCAGAAGCCATTTTAGTCACTTCACTGTTGTGTTGGCTCGACGGGTCAGGACAACACTGGTGCCATTTTGACATTAATGGGCAATGAAAGGCATTAATGTTAAAATGGGAGATGCTGTTGTACAAGAAAGCATAAAACTCTATACCCTGGCTGAAAGACTTTAGTCCACGTTTTAGATATTAAGAGTTCCTTGCTTAAATGCCAATGGAGAACCTTCGTAAGATATATGCTTAGAGAGAAATTTGATAATAGAAAAACTGGTGTTCAAGAAGTGCACAATAAGGGCAGTTTGGTAGACCAGCATTAATGGAGAATATTATTTTCTTATAGTCGGACTTGAGTCCTGGAAATGGGAAGTACAATGCCTGCACTTTAAAGGAGGGGTTTGGGATATTGGCAGTTTGGAGGGATATGTTGTGTATCTTTATACATATATGCTTCTAAACTGTTGTATTCTGAGCACCTCTGCAAAAGCAGTGATAATGTGTGAGTGTGGTGAAAGTGTTGAATGATGATGAAAGTATTTTCTTTTTGGGGATTTTCTTTCTTTTTTGGGTCACCCTGCCTCGGTGGGAGACGACCAACTTGTTGAAAAAAAAAAAATTACTTGAAAACAATATTTGAGCAAGGAACTAAAATATCCAACGGTATTCCATATAAATGTTGGATAAAAAATGAACTTTGATTAAATTTCTATTCTAGATAGCCCTTAAAAAATTGTGATGAATGAAAAATGCACTTGACTTTTCTATCATTTCCCTAACACAAATATGGTAATGATAACAGTGACTAATACAGTTACAAAGATTATCATACATAACAGCATATGTGTACGGAACCTATAACCCAAAAAGTCAGACAATGTGACTTATTTCCATTGGGGTCCTTGTTGACCTTAATGGAAATAAAATTAGGTAGATGTTACAATGTGAGTCACTTACTGCCGGCACACTGGTTCTCTATGTAGTGCACATGAGGCGACGACGGACGGAAACTGAGGGGCTGAGTCCGTCTATCTTGGCGACTAAGACGACACACACCATCCCTGCGGGTCACAGGTCATACGTAGGGTAAATACAAAGGTCAACAGGCAATGAGAAAATAAGGTACATCGTACCAATTTATATATCTATTTCTACAAGTACATGTACATGGTATACAGGCCTAGCTGACATCATTAACGTACTACTATACAGAAAGCAGCTTGTTATGCAGAGCATTTCGGGCAAATTAGGTCAGTTTTGTCCCAGGATGCGACCCACACCAGTCGACTAACACCCAGGTACCCATTTTACTGTTGGGGAACACACATAACCTGTGTAAAGAGACACGCCCAATGTTTTTACCCTCGCCGTTTGAAGCGAGAGCTTCAGCCACCAGGCCACGGGGCCTGGTAAGGACATCGTACCAATTAGGTAAGTGTTAAGGTAAGAATGAATAACCTCAAAAAAAAAAAAACTTTGCTGTAGGCCTACTGTCCCATACAAGACCCATATAACTTGCATCCAGTCTTTCAACTAGAGTATCTGTCCAGTTACAAGACTTCAGAAAGAATTGTCAGAGAGCTGCGTGAATCTGAAACCAATCAATAGACTAGTATATCAGTTCAGGGGATTTAGAACTAGTCAGCAGATTAATGAGTGAACTCAAGAAAGTAAGAACCAAAGCAAAACAAAGGAATAAATGTTCCGCTACTAACCTTTCGTGGTACTCTGCGCTCCGACATTTGAGGTTGCGCTCACCTACGCACAGTTCTGCGCATTTCAGTCTGGTTGGGACGTTAGTGAGCACCAGGTCATCATATCCATCCACCTCAAAGCCCACAACTCGCTCCAGCATCCAGAGCTTCCCACACGCAGGCGCTGAAGGACCACAGGAAGTGTGACAGTTGTAAACTTAATTTTACAATTCGCAAGGGAATCAGTGTGATGGGATGGTAAAACACCATCACATTATGGTGGCATTAATGTGATGAACACTGACCAATATGCTCTGTAATAACCCACAATGACAAATTCAGGAAATTAATTGATCTGTTTATTTCGACTCTCCTGTGGAATCCTCTTCAGATCATTATAGATCAATTAATCTCCTGAGTTTTTCTCCATGTGGGTTATTGAGTATTAAGAAGTGTTAATTGTACTTTATTCACTATTCAGTATATCACAAAATTCTACATGAAAGCAAAAAGCATTGGCAACTATACATTTCTGCATGCAGTCGAGGTCCTCTTCAGCAGATTAAGTAGCTAAAATACAGGGAAGGAGAGGGGAGGTCTTGTACAGTATAGTCGTAGGAGCCACTACGGAGAATTAAGGCGTGCTATTATTAAAATCATGAGGAAGTGCTGACCCACAGGGGTTATGCAGCTACTGGTTAATGAGTAGTCAGGTTTGGTACGAGGAAGGGAAAGGTACCTATTATTCTTTGGACCAATAGACCTTTCCTGGCAGAAGAAACCAGGAAATTCGAGTCAGTTATATAGTGTTTAGTGAAAAATACAGCGAGTGTCAAAGAAGAAATGGTTTTTTATTTACATTTTTAATTAACCTGAGAATGTATACGTTGTTAACAGTTGTATCTAACATTCCTGCACACACACACACACACACACACACACACACACACACACACACACTCATAAAATTACACATTCACATGTACTCACTGTATATCCGTCACTCACCACTGAGGCAGATCTTGTGGAAGTAAGTGAGAGGTTGATCTATGGGTTGTAGACGTGTGCTGGGAGTGGCATCCACGCTGAAGCAAGCTTCTCTCGCGTAGTTTACAACAAAGCCTTTACACGTCTCTGAGTTTCGGCAACTATGAGTAAGATCAGGAGATTCCGTCACTATGAGCACGAGTAGAGGAAGAGGAGGAAGGATGACGTAGTAATAGTTGCAATACTAGTAGTAGTAGCAGCAGCAGCAGTAGTAACTATAGTAGTAGTAATAGTAATGGCAGCAGGTGTAGTAAAAATAGAAGCAGCAATAATAATTAATATAATTGGCTATTGTTTTATTATTACAATAATAACTTAGCGCTAAACCCACTAGGATCATACAGCTATTACTGTAATAACAATAGCTGTAATAGTAAAAGTACAGCATTAATATTTGGCAGGTTACCTTAATATTTTTAAAGAAAAGGGCATTTAAAAACAACTTCAAGGTCTTAAAAGGTCTGTTATTAAACACTAAATAATATATATCCCCAAAGCTATACATCAAGTCAGATCCCATTAAAAAAAAAAATTAGGAATAATCTGATTTCCCCTCCCATTTATTTACATCTACCAGTACTACCACACAAAGCGACGAACCTCTCGACGCAGGTCTCTGTTACGGTGTTGCCAGGGTTGGTGAAGAGAGGTGCTCCGTCTGTTGTAGCAGCTGTCACCCTCGTCACCTTCTCAAACGTCTCGATTCCACTACACTGACCTGGAGTGGAAGAAGAACCCGTCTTCATGATATAAATCTTGTCGCCTTACAAATAACCCAAAATTAGAGATACATCTTGAATAGAGTTATTCACTACAATGTTCTGTTTTTTCTGGGTCAGTTAAATTTACTTTTCACGATATTTTAGTATTTTTTTTGTATAATTTACGTTAATGTTTTGCAAGCTATTTTACAATTAGTTATATTTTTATTCAGTTATATTTAGTTTCACTCTGTCCTGGGTTATTATTAGGCCAGTAATGAGCGAAACTTTCGTCATTTGATAATGGTCCAAGACTAACTGAATAATAATCAGTTAATGGAAACAGTAAAACCCAGGCTCAGTGAGGCGGAAATCTCATATTTTCTCAGACAAGGCGAGTGTCACGCAACTCATTTCTGGCGGTGTTGCTACAGGTATTGCATGTAAATGACCAAGAACTTTATAATACCTGCGAAATGCTTACGGTTTTCTAGAGAGTCTTGACCACCTTCCTCCTTTCCTGTTGATGGCTCTCTGATCACCGTCTCACTATCCCGGTCTTGGATCAGTCCTCCTAGTTGTTGGCCTGATTAGTCAGGTTATCGGTTTAAGCAGCTTGACTGATCAGGAGCTGCCTTGAGTTTACTTAGTTAATATACAGATCACGACTGGAGAAAAGTCGTTAGACAGCTAGGTAAAATGATATATTTATCTCCCTGCCATCGTAAGTATGTTTCACTTATCGAGAGACTAACATGTTCAATGAACGATACGTTTTTACTTCACATCTGATTCTTAGAAAAAACTTTTTAAATGCAAAAACTGTCTAAGTCATTCTTCACAATGAAGAAACTCATTTTGGACAGAGTATTGCAGCTTCACCCAGGCGTTGGCTGGGGAGAGCCGTTAGTCGTTTGTCATTACTGACGTGAAGGTCTTCTGGTTGTCATGTATCTTCCCTTCTTGTGGTCGCGAACCCATCAAGGGAGGTTCCTCAGCGCTGGTGAAGGGGGCGCTTTGATCCAAGGAGCCGGACCTGACCTCTTTGGGTCGAAACTCATTATCTCCCATCACCTCAAGCGCTACATGAATGTAATTACAGGTTACAGGTTTGTATATGGAGTACATCAGTGTCCCATTGGTCATATTAGCTCCATATTTTTTGGGTGACAAACTGCCAGGAAAAAATTACAGAAATTAATTTGGGCTATTAAAACATGTATACCCATTTTTTTAAATGGGCTGAAGTCTTGTTGAATTGTTGTAAACTATTTTTTTCCTAAACACGTAGGGATCACAGCAATAGATTCGACCCAAGGAACGGGAGGTCATACTCAATTCCTTGGATCAAGAACCCCCTCACAGATGTCAAGGAACTTTTCTTGCCGTGATGGAGAACAAGAAACTCCGAAATCCTGCGGGAAACCCTCTTCCTCTGATCTTGGGAAATTAGGAAAAACTCATTTTATGAAAAGAGGAAAACACGAAAATCCTTCCCTTTTGCCTCTCACGAAGGACAATCCCGCCCTTCTACCATTCTCATCAAAACCAAAATTACACTGTTGGCCTTTCGTTTTAGGAGAAACTATTCTATGGTCACCGATGGACATCAAAAGTCATTTCCTTGTATGCCGAGTTGTGCTGCAGCAATTCTTCCAGCATGCTGGGTTGTTCTGCTAGGGGACGTCCTTCCAGCATACTAGGCTGTGCTATGGGCGTCCTTCCAGCATACTAGGCTGTGCTAGGGTGTCCTTCCAGCATGCTGGGTTGTGCTAGAGGGCGTCCTTCCAGCATACTTGGTTATGCTAGGGGCGTTCTTCCAGCATACTAGGCTGTGCTAGGGGCGTCCTTCCAAGCATACTAGGCTGTGCTAGGGGTGTCCTTCCAGCAAGCTAGGTTGTGCTAGGGGGCGTCCTTCCAGAATCCTAGGCTGTGCTAGGAGCGTCCGTCCAACATACTAGGCTGTGCTAGGAGAGTTCTTCCAACATACTAGGCTCTGCTAGGGGCGTTCTTCCAACATTCTAGGCTGTGCTAAGGGCGTCCTTCCAACAATCTGAGTTCCTTATCACAGAATTCTGTACTCCATTTCCATTTAATTTTTACTTAAGATTAAATTCCTTGTCTTTATAACGGATTTTTAGGTTTAAATTATTTACTAGAGAATATTCAGAAAAAAAAATATCACCGTTTGGTTTAGGGTTGTTAGCTGAGCAATTAAGGATTGATGATTGTGGGTAACTACACCCACGAGTGAGCAATTGCCTAGTTACCTCTGTCACACATGACTCACCTGAGGTACGTGTAGCCAACTGTGTGAGTAAAATAAGCTGAAGAACGACTCTGGGATAACCTCTGCTGCGATAAGCCATCCTGGAGAGGTAAAAAAAAATTGCTAATGTTAGTAAACAGTGTTATAGGAAAATGTTCTTCAACTGCTACGAACATTTTACAAATATTTATACATTTTTCTCTAAAGTTTACGTGAGGGTTTGCCTTGCTTTTCACTAGCAGGGTTTTTTTTTTGTTTAGAAGACAGCATAATCGAGGTGCATTATCTTCATTTTATTAACATTAATGTAATTACTGATCCTAGGTCATATTCAGACGTTCACTGAGCATTTAAGACAGAGAAGTATATCCACCTCAGCACTAAGATGTTAAGTCCATTCTGTGAACGACCTCCTTCAAGTCTCACTCTTAATCCCATTGTTGAAGTTTTTTGTATCTAGTGTATTGTTCAATTAAAGGTGTATAAAATTCGGTTTGTCTCTTAATCCTTTTCGTCGTAACAATTAGGCTCTGTGGCCACAAGGCTGGAGAATGCAGGCAGCCGAAAGATCGCCTGCATCTTTAAAGATTTATCTATTTCCCTGGCGTGAGAGAATGGAGCCGTGACTAAATAGCAACAACGTGAGAACAAGAGATTTCATCCCATGACTTATTTTCTAAAACGTGAAGAGGAACCATGGCTCAAAAAAACATATCTTTATTCTCTCCCACTCGAGTGGTACAGGCGACGAGGACAGTACAGAGTTGGAATTTCAGTTTTCTTTGCAGTGTTGATGGGCAAGGAACAAAGTGCCTGACTTGTGCTCTTACTGTTGCTGTTTATTTTTTTTGTTGCTGGTGCTGTTTTTGCTGCTGTTTCTGTTGTTACGACTGCTTCTGAAGTTACGTTTCGCATACAGCGCATGCGACACATTTAGTCAATAATGTGTTGCATGCGTGTCTTACTTATTATAGCCTATTGGTACTGTTTCGTCTGCATTGCTATCGGTGCTGTTGCTGATGTTCATGCCTCTCTTGCTACTGCCAATGTTTCTGCTACTTCTATCTATACCACTTCTGATATATTTGTCATGAGAGGTACCGAAAGCGAGCAATCATTCGTGCGATCATTTACGAAACCTGTGTTCAGATTGGGCAAGCAAGGCGAGTCAACAAGATTAGTGGTAAAGTGTGAACAGACGTGAGTAGTCTGAGTTGGTTCAGGTAAGAAGGTTACGATAATATTTTCGAGTAACACTGGACTAAAAGAAGAATGATTGATGTAACCACTGTTGCTCCATCTATATAAAGATGAGAACGTAAATTACTGGTATTATTAATTTCATGGGGAAACGCCGGATATATAGAAGATATCCAAAGCCCGGAGAGTTAGAAGTAATCAGTAGTGATCCACTAATTTCTCGGATCTAACGCCCTTTACAGGTATTAAAACAGCGACTTGACCCTATATGGGTGGAATTTTAAAATATATAAAAGTAAAATTTAAGAAAAAATGTGCCGAGCAAAAAGGAAATAAATTTATATGAAGTGGTAGTTGATACTGTGAGATGTGAAGGAGAAATTAAAAGAGGAATTTGAAAGTTGAGGTAAAGACAGACGGTAGCTTAGCATTGATATTTAAAAGTATATGGAATAATATTTTGAAGCGGAGATTGAAAAGAGTGAGTATAAAGGAGAATTTAGATACCTGGGAGAGGATGTGTCAGCAGATGGGTCTATAAAAACGCAAATATCAGAACTGGTGAGGGAAATAAAGTACAATTGCCAAAAAATTCCTAGGATAGAGAACATCAGTAGTAACAGCTGGCTTGACAACACCAGTTAATGGCAGCTCGTGAAAGAAAGGTTGGATAATGAGTTTGGAGGCAGCCTGAACACGCGCGGGACGTCGTCAGAAACCTAGCATTGTTCTCAGTCGTCACAAGTCATTCAGTAACTTGAGCACTGAAGAGGAGAACCAGAATGAAAAAGGCTTTTAGGGAGTGAACGAAATAGGTGGGGGAATGAAGAAAGGAGATATTAAAGGAGATATAAAGGGAGCGGAAAGGAAAAAGGATATAAGAATGGAGATAGGAGTGAAAGAGGAATGGGCAAGAGGAGGCAATTACACGAAAGTGTGGGTGAAGGGGTATTAAGGGGCGGACTGAAAAATCGAAAGGAAAAGTGTGAAGTGATGGGTGGTATGAGAGGGAAAGTCGAGGGTGGAAAGTAAGGGAAAGGAAAGTGGGGTTTTGAGAGGGGTGGGGTGAAAATGGAAGTGGGAAGAGACGTGCTGAGGCAGAATGAAAAACGTGAGAAGCAAGAGGGAAGACATACATCGTAGTTTACGAGACTTCATGATGCAAGTGTCTGGCATGGTGCTGTGTTTTGGCGAGGGAAGAACAGGGATGGAAAAAGCTGGTTCATTGTACTTCCGTCGACTCAGCTGACACCGCTGGAAATCTTCGGCATTAACTCAGCTCGCTTAAGTGGAAATGTTTCGCTTAAACGAAGGTAACGTTTGGCATAAGTTTAGTTCACACCAGTGGAAAGATTTAATGTATGTCAAGACATAATTATCCGGCCTATTCTCCAAATCTGCCACTCATACCACTTTAGAAAATCGATCACGTAAGCTTACATAGCCAAAATCTGGTGCGTAAACATTGAAGATCCTGCTAGAAGAATATGTTTAGTGTCCCAAACCTCTTTGTTTACTAATGATGTCAACAGATAAGGTCTGCTAGGGTGTTAGCTCCATTCAAATGAATATAAACTATTCTTCTATCACTTGGAAAAGTCAGGAGAAAAGATATATAGAGTATCTTGTGGATTTTCTAGACTGTCTTCAAGGATGCATAAAGCTTATCAGTTACTTGATCATTGAAGTCTATCGGTGACTTGCACTTGTGAAGATTGCTTCTGCTCACGTCCCTTCATCACTTACTAGACATCAGGGTGTGATGATGACCGTAACATCACCTTGAGTCACGCAGGGTTAGAAAACAGTAGCAGCAGCAGTAACAGCATGAGTAACAGTAGCAGAAATAACAGTATCTGACAGTAGCAGAAAGAAGTAACAGTAGCAGTAGCAGAAATAACAGTAGCAGCACTAGTAGTAGCGACAACCTGACAGCAGGTGGTTAGCCTGCCACGCTGAGTGATCCCAATAAACACTCACTGCAAAAACCTTCAAGTTATCGAACCCTAAGTCACAATTAATTCGCAAATGTGTTGACATTTCAAATTTCAATGGGTTTAATTATACGTGTGGAAATTAGCTAACAGCATTCTACCCTTTCTCTACTACATGCCTAACTGAATAACTCAAATAACTTTGCTTTGATATTTTCACAGAAAGAAGGAACTCTCAGCTTGTACAATCAATAAAGTAAAAAGCAGAAACAAACATTTCGTTCACTGCTTTATCTATTACACTAAAAAGATCAAATGCAGAAATTATGTCATTATTATTATATTCACGAAGAAACACTAAATTCGTAAGGGTTATACAACACCTGGAGAATGGTAGGTGATCAGGTTTGGTCCATGGTAAGAATAGTTCCAATTCTTTGAATCAAGAATCCTTTAACAGCATCAAGGTCCCTTCCTTAAAAAGGCAAGTGCTCAACTATACTACAGAAAATGTCACTGTAAGAGTTTATACAGTAGTGTCTCAAGAGTTAAATCATAGTCTTGATGTTTTAAATTCGATTTTCTTTAAGATAAACTGAATGGATTCGATTCACTGAACTATGATGAAAGCGGCTTCATTGTGCAAGAGCACTTTTTTTTTTGAGTGTAAATTGCTGTGTTTTGTTATCTGGAAAATAAGTTTATTCTTATACCACCTCCGAAAATAATGCGTGTTTAGTAATGAGTTTTATTCTATACTGGAGTTTCTAACGAGACGCATGTAGTTTAATATGCAAGGGTCAAAAGACGAATATTATCCCTTAAACCCCAGGAAGGAGGAAGGCCGCCAGAGAGAGAGAGAGAGAGAGAGAGAGAGAGAGAGAGAGAGAGAGAGAGAGAGAGAGAGAGAGAGAGAGAGAGAGAGAGAGTGGGGAGGGGAGGGGAATCTCTAACCCCTCACCTCAATAGAGGAAGAAGCGCTAAATCTGTGTAGGAAATTCAGAAAAAGGACTAGAATGGGCTTTATCCTCTGTCCACCAAGCAACATTACTCACCTTGTGAGGGTACAGACAACCTCCATCACTTTACCTTCAGGAAGCTAGAGGCGACCCAGGTGAGATTACCCAGAGTGTTCCACCCCAGAAGGAGGCATCCCTGACGGTCTGGTAGCTCTGACAGAGTCAGTGTTGGGGTCCTGTTGGGACCACCCACCTCATCTCACTACACACCCCGCTGACTTATCGCCTGCAGCCACTACCACTTTTTTTTTCCTTTCTCTTAAAATTTTCTCTCTCTGCAGACAATCTTGACAATGGTTTGCTCCATCATTGTCAGGGGTCCCGCCTTTCTGTCGCCAAAAGCTGAATGTCCTAGAGAATCATCAGATACGAGGCGATAATTAAATCTTTTGAGACCGAAGTGAGAGGACTGTTACAGAGCTTTCGAAACACACACACACACACACACACACACACACACACACACACACACACACTGGAGGACAGGAGGGTTAGGGGAGACATGATAACGACATACAAAATACTGCGAGGAATTGACAAGGTGGACAAAGACAGGATGTTTCAGAGATGGGACACAGAAACAAGGGGCCACAATTGGAAGTTGAAGACTCAGATGAGTCAAGGGGATATTAGGAAGTATTTCTTTAGTCAGTCGTCAGGAAGTGGCACAGTCTGGGAAGTGACGTAGTGGAGGCAGGAACCATACATAGTTTTAAGACGAAGTTTGATAAAGCTCATGGAGCAAGGAAAGAAAGGACCTAGCAGCAATCAGTGAAGAGGCGGGGCCAGGAGCTATGAATCGACCCCTACGACCACAAATAGAGTACACACACACACAAACACACACCAATAACGTCGTCTCTCATGTAAAACAATAACTCTGATCCCTCCACTTGTTACATAAACCTCAGGTTCACTTCTCCCCATTCTTAAATAACGAACACTGAA